TGCCTGGATTGAACACTGTACACCAGCAGTGTTCTTAGCCAGGCAAGACAGGTTATGTCTGTCAACTCATTTATTTCTTACTGTTGTTATGATGTCACTAAGATTACCTTGGTTTTAGTCGCCATATCATCCTGGCCTTGATAATTGTGAAATGTGGAGCAATACAATGATAATCAGAGAGGAAACGCAGGACTTTGCCTTTGCATATGTGCATGAATATAGGCTAAGGAGGTGTGGTGACTGGGAGATAGTCCTGGAATGTAATATTCTAACCATGACCTTGACATGTCATCAGATACTTAATAAAGGGTTACCAAGAAGCAGAAGTTCCTGAAGACATATTAGATGCTGAGCCTGTGACCTGGCTTTTAGAAGAATTATACTTTAGTGAGAGGGATAGAAAAGACTAGGACATGGGTACAAATCTCCTACCATGCCCAAGGGAACAATCACCTTAAACACTGGGCAAGGGGGTCAAAAGGTAAAACTTCCAGTCATAAAATAAGTAAGTCCTGGGATGAAATGTATGGCATGGTGACTATAGTTAAAAATACCGTATTTTATATTTGACATTTGCTAAGAGAGTAGATCCTCAAAGTTTTTATTACAAGAAAAAAAATTGTCAGTCTTCATGGTGGATGTTAGCTAGAGTTACTGTGTTGATCATTTCATTGTACATTGTACATACATTGTACACCTGCAACTAAGATAAAGTTATGTCAATTACATCTCAACAAAAACAAATGAATAAAAGGCCCATCACAGGACTCTGGTTACCTGATAGAGAGATTTCACAATGAAACCACATGCTCCAGGCATCTCTTACCATGCTGGGTATGGGAGTCAGATACAACTAGCCACAGCATTTAACCAGTGAATTTAAGATCCAAAAGAAAGTTTGTAAATAGTTGGTTTCAGTAGATGTTTATATCTGTTTAATGGATAAGTGAGAATTTTAATTATTTCCCATTATTCAATTTTAGGTGACTTTCTTCTGTACAACAATTCTTTGGTTTTCATTTAGCAAGTGGCTAATTCAATCCCACCCACTAAACCTATCCACCCTGATCTTTTTCTCAGAAACTACTGCCAAGCAGATCTTTTCCATTTGGCTTTGATGCAAGCAGCTTGAGCTACCTCTTTCAGGTTTGGGTCATCTATCTATTGCAAATCATGCTTCCTATAGAATCCATAAGTAAATTAGGGGGTCAACAGTGTCCACAAAGATAGGAATCATTAGCCAAGAGTTGGGCAGAAAAGGTCACAAAGGGATGTTTCTGATAATACTGTAATACTGATGATTCTGATAACACTGCCAAAGGATCTGATAGTATTGTCAAAGGGTTATTTTCAAGTCATGGTAAAGAACACAGGAAGGGAATTTGCCTAGAATTAATTTAAATTTTCTACATGGTGATTAGCAAGTCTTATAACTGGTAATTTCTATGCCATAACTAACGATGAATTATTCCACTAACTCTTGTTTTTTTTCCTTTGGACAGTTCCCCATTTCTTGTTTTGTAAACAGATCTCTTGCCTTCTTTCTCCTTCCTGCCACCAGTCACTTCCCATTTTGTCACTATTTAGTGAAACTGCATTCAGCTTGCTTTGTCATTTGCTATCAACTCTAATCGGTGAGGGAAGAGATTAATATTATTGGTTTGTTTCCATTTCCATTCCAATGACCTGACTTTCTATCAACAAAGCGATCACTTCTATCACTTTCAGAAGGAGCTGGGAGGGAAATAACCAGAAATCATGGCTTAGCTGATTGGGTTGGAGATCTGGAGGGAGACCTGGATACATTTTGTAAACCTAAATGTTTTAAGATGTATGCCAAATATCCTGCTTACTTTGGCTTTCTTTGATCATAAAACAGACAGTTCTTTGTGCCTTGAAAGAGACACACAGGCTGCAAAGAGTCATCCGAACTGCCCAGAAATGTCTTTAATCTTGACCATTTTTCAAACACAGATCTCCATGGTGAACAATTTTCTGAAGAATTCTTACAATGCAGAGTCTGTTCAGAGGATGCTGATTTCAAAAGCTCTGTACACAGAGCATAATGAAGAGAGGAAGAAAGTGCACAGCTTTCAGTAACTTAAGAAAAAGGGAGAAAATTCAATGGGAAATGAAAGACTACCCAATTTGAAGTATGCAGCATGTTAGGATTCAGAAGGGATGACATGTAACTCTTCCAGGTCTAACACAGACCAGCGCTCGCCCTCAAGCACTGCAAAGGATGCCAGCTTCCAGCTGTATAAATTAGCACAAATAAAAAAAGATGCATGAAGAATGTACTTACCATGATTGTAGGAAATGGATTTTCACTCATCTTTCATCAATGATTTAGGGTCTATAATTTCCCGTCAACTTTTATTCTCTTAGAACTGTAACAGTTCCGATCATTCATGAAGAGGTAAAGGTGCTGTATACTTAATGTTTATCGTTCAGGATGTGGATAGATTAACCATTTAATACTGATCTGAACAGTCTGGTAATCTAGGTATTTAGGAATGTACATGAAGCCACTGTGTTGTTGAATTTTAGAGCTTACTGTGTGCGCACCTGTGAAGATGAGCCAGCAAAGGAAGGAATTCAGTCCCGGCTGTCAGGACTGATCAGTACTGTTTGCCCTTAAATCCATTCTTCGTGCTTGTCCTGTTCTGCTCTGTATCACAGGGGGCTGACTTCTGCAGGTTGTTTCACAGGCTCTGTTTCAGGCACCCCTAGCATTGTTTGACCAATCAGAGACTGGAAGGTGGAAAGAAGGGGGAAACCGGGGTATTGCCCATTTTCCTTCTCTGGCAGTGGCTTAATCTCTTTCATGGCCCCAGTTCCCAATGGATACACACAATGTGATTCCAGCTTTGGTCACTTCACATTACTCCAGTTTAAGGGTGGTAGCAGCTTTATAGCTTTGGCCAATTTGGGGTTGTTTCACTCTTGCAGTGTCCCGGGTTGGGGTTCTAGCTTTTGTAGTCAATTTCCTAGACCGAATTCATTCTGTTTTAAATACTCAGAATGGTTTCTGTTTCCTAATTGGATCCTGAATGATATAACTGATGTATAAGTTTCACTTGTTGAATCATGGCTTCCTTTAATTTATGGAATCCACTACTTTTTAATAAAAAAATAATAGCTAATATATATACAACACTTTATCAGTACCAGGTAAAAGTACTTAGCAAGTCACTTAAGCAGAAGATAGCTACAGCATTAACCTCTGTTTTCTCTTGGCAGCAGCTGTGCTACATACTCTCAGATATACCCTTAACTAATCCACAATGTTTAACTGGAACTAAATTAATCTATAATGGCAGAGGGCCTAAGTTTTAGGCCAAGAAAACTCAAGTGCACTCAGGCAGTAAATTCCAGAGGTGGTAGGATAAATGACTTTGCAAGCCCACAGAGGTATACAGGTAAGCATAGTTACTGAAGTGACTCAGACCCATAGTGGGAGTACTTTTGTGATAGTTTCAGGACCTGGGAGACAGGTAATGTGACAGCCCTCTGTATGCTGTATAGAGCACTTATACATTATCGATTATTTTTGTAATATAGATAATGATATTTGGTTTACTTATCTTACAGTGTAATTTGATTAATTATGTGACTGTGTAGTTGAAAAAAAGGATGATTGTTAATACAGGTTCGCTCTTTGCTGAAAACCCGATATGGACCCCAAATTCACAAAAGAGAGGGACTACCTGAATTCCCTGTCTGACGGCAGCTGCAACTGAGGTAGAAATTGCTATTGGACAGAAGACAGAGTGTCTGTGTCCCTGCTCTCCTCTCCAGCCTCGAGACTGCTGCCACCACAGAGGTCTGGCTCCAGAAAGGGCATTATCTGGGCCCTTGCTCAGCCTTACAGAGAGGCAGTTTCATCTGTGTGGCTGCACTTAGAAGGGTCCCATGCTTGCTGTTTAGCTCAGTTGACACTGTCTTGAAATTCTTCATAATTTTTTAACAAAGAACCCCACATCTTTATTTGCTCTGGCCCAGCAAATTATGTAGCCAGTCCTGGTGTTAGGACCCATTTGGAGTTTTGCTTCTTCTGACAAAAAGGAAATGAAGTTTACCTGTATCAGGCACTGGCCCAGGAGTGCGCATTCCTGCAATTGCCCTGACCTGTTCCCGTGCCAGATGGATCCTTTTCTTTAATATTCATCAGTTGGGCCACTGTAACTTCCTGGGAACTGGTTGGGTCTCTAAAGAGAACCCCGCTGAGTTGAATTTGACCTCAACAGCACTACCGTTCTGCCAGCATCGTCCATGTTGTCCCAGGTGTGGCAAGACTTCAGTCCTGACAGATTCCAGCCAGTGGTGTATAAAGGACCCTACCTGTGGTGGCCTGGCCCCTGAGGATGTTTTCTTACAGAATGTATGAAGGAGAACAGATGAAAGGACAGAGGGGGTTAGAAAAAGACAGTATCAGTGGGAGGCCAAGAATGAGTACTCAAAATGACTTCTACATCTGAATGGTGCTTAACTTCCCTGGGCCTCAGTTTCCTAATCTGTGAATGGGGCAAGTAGAGAAGGTATCAGCCCCCACAGGATTGTCGAGAGGACAAAGAAATTTGTGTAAAAGACTTTGTGTGGTTCCTGGCGCCTAGTGAGTGTTAGCATTTCTTATGAACCATCAGTACTGTCATTTGGGTCACTGGCCTCTGGGAGAATGGGATGACAGCTATGGTTCCTTCCAACTGCCCGCCCAAATTCACCTCCCCCAAAAGAGCTCGCTGACAAAACAATGGTTCCACAACCCTTGAAGGCAGTTCCTGGACCCAGGGAAGACCCGTGCCTCTACAGTGTTCACTTAGGGGGTGCTATCTCCACTCCCGTCCTCCATGCTTCCACCTGTGGCTCCCGGACCACCAGCACACGGCCTGACCCTGCAGGCGGCCTCTCCTCGCGGTGCGCACGGCCGCGGGAGGGGGCGGGTCCGGCCCACGGCCCGCCCCACGTCGGGCTTGGGGCGGGGGCTCCAGCCTATTAGCGGACGGAAACTCCGGGGTCCGGGGGAGCGGGAGGGAGGCGTGCGGGCGAAAGGCGCATTGCTGCAGCCTGCGGCGGCCTCGGAGCGCGGCGGGGCTCGGCTCTGATCCCGTCCGCGCCTGGTCTCCTCCTCCTCCCGCGACTCCGCGCGCCATGCGCCCCCAGAGCCCCGCCGCCTGCCCGCCGCGGCTCCTCGGCCTCCTGCTGTGTCTGCTGCTGCAGCTGCGGGCGCCGTCCAGCGCCTCCGAGCTTCCCAAGGGGAAGCAAAAGGCGCTGCTCCGGCAGAGGGAGGTGGTGGACCTGGTGAGCCCGGTGGAGGGGACAAACCGCGGGCGGCACGGGGAGGGCGTTAGTCCGGCTGTTGGGGGAAGGTCTGTACAGCCCCTTGTGTGCGTCTTGCGCGCGCCGGGGTGTCCTGCTTTGTCTGAAGCGACGCGTAAGGAAGGACCTGGGCTATGTGTGTAGTGTAGTTCTGGAACTCACCGGGGTGACCAAAATGATAGGGCCATCGTGCATGGAGATGCGACGTGGGTTGGGTGGGACGCCCCAAAGTACAGGGAGTCGCCCAATAATTTCTTGTCTCTGAGGGAGACCCCGGAAGGATGGAGAAGGTTAGGGCGGCAATAAGAGTAGAATGAGGAGCTTGGGTAGGTTAGACTGTAGGCCTGGGTGCTGTCTGGGAGACGCTGGACTCGCTGACCCCCTGGGTGGGCTTGGACCAAGGCCCTGTAACGTGTCATTTCTTGGGGCGGCTGGTGGCCACGTCTGCTTGCAGGAGAAAACAACCCTCACAAAGCATCCGTCCAGCTCTTTGTAACTTGAAGACTATGAGTCATGTTGGGTCATCTTCCTAGGAAGTACGGGCTGCAATTTACTTTGTTGGACAACCACAGCTGGGTTCAGTGGGTTTAAGGCCAGAAAGGGAAAATGAAGGGGCTCGGGCACTACCCCTCCAAGGACCCGTTTTACTGTGCTCTTTAGACAGATGGGGCAGTGAGTCCTTCCAGACACCTGGGGTCCTCAGCCTGTGGCCACCAGGTAGGAGCATCAAGTCGAGCTAAGGGAGAAGACAGTTTCTAGGAGAGCAAATACATCGTCCAAGTGCTTCTGAAGGGCGAATCTATGGAAAGGTCTGTTTGCTTAAACCTCTTTCCCTCTAAAAGTCAACACATCGAGTGGAAGGCAGAGCAGTTCTCTGTCCTGTGGCAAGAGTGAGCCTTTCACAGCTACCATATTTCTTGGCACATAATAAACTTCAATCCTCATGCCAATCTTATTTGGAGACATTGCAGGACATAAATGGGGGGGTGGGGGGTGAGGAATTTTTTAATAAAAAACTCTTAAATTTGTTAATCTGACATTGTAAACTGGTTAATAAACAAAGCTCTCTGGCAGCTAATTCTATGCCAGTTTCAGAAGCCCTGGAAAAAAATTATTGCCATTTCACACTGTACTTTTTTGGTAAATGTGCTGTGTAATTTTGTTTCACAAGGCAGAGGATGTGTTCAGAGATACGGTTCTATTTTAAGTGTCTAAATTGTTAAAAACTGTACCAAATTACTTGGTTTATGTGCAGTTTGCATTTTATGAATTTGTAATTATGATGCATAGAATGCCCCTTTTCCCTATAAAGCTAGCAATTTTTTTTTCTTGTTCTCCAGGGATTTACGTACCTGTGGTTTCCCACAACTCTAGCCCAACTTGCAAACCTTAGTGTGCAGCCAGGCTCAGGTGCATCCTGCAGATTGGATTTGGTTTGGGTCTGGAGGGGAAAAAAAATTAAGAAGGTTTCAACAGATTCCATAAAGCAACTTCTTTGTACAGGATCTTTCAAAGCGCTCCTTTCAAGCTTCCAGCAAGCTCTGCCCCCTAGTGGCTAATAGAAGAAACAAGGGTTCCTTCCACAGGCGGTTGGTTATTCAACCCCTACCTGGCCTTAGCTAAGCCATGTGCAGGATTCCCATTTTAAAGTGAAAAAAAAGATAAAATAATTGTGGAACTGAATTCAATAAAATTATGTGGCCTCTGAGATGAAGCTTTTAGATAAAAAGCTGAATAAAAATTCTCAACCTTTGCACTATTGACATTTTGGGCTAGGTAATTCTTTGCAGTGGGGACTGTACATCATCGAGTATTTAGCAACATAACATCCTTGGCCTCTGCCTACTAGATGTCAAAACAGTCTCCCCTTCCAACTTGTGACAACCAAAAATGTCTCCAGACATTTGCCAAGTGTCCCCTGCGGGACAAAGTTGTCCCTAATTGAGAACTACTGACATATAGAAAAATAAATTTTTTTATAGCATCTTGCCCTGAGGGGAATAATAGTGAAAAAAGTTAAAGAATACCAGAAGAAGTCTTATTGCTTTTCCCTTACCACTTGAAACCTGTGTCCAAACATTGCATATTTCTGCTGGTGAAAGTCTGAAACAAACCTAAGTTTTTAAAAATATTTTATATGTTAGTGTGTCTTCAAATAGTTTTGCAATTTTGTTAAATACTTTTCTTACTATTTCTCTGGCAATAAATAAAAAAATTAATTTTTTCTTTTTACAACAGGAAAATAGCAGTGTGGAAAGTCATGACAAAAATCATTTATCAAAACAAAGATCAAATTGGGGATGTGAGAAGCAAATTGTTTGGCAGGTATTGGATACATAAAGATCCTTTCTAGGTAGTGTCATTCCTTGACTTTATAATATGACCATGTCTAATCGCAGATGGTGAAGTTAAAAGATAAGCTTTGAAGTTATTTCAGTATATACAAAGAACTTTTTTTTTGGTTTTCAGTGGACAGTATCATACAGAATAATAGTTTAAGTGGATTATATTTGGGGTTTGGAGGGTCCTAATAAATGGACTGATTTAGGGATGGACACAGGAATTAGATAGATGGAGATCAAAATATCACCATTATCACTTATCCAACTACACTGGTGTTTGTGACTTAGGTGTGTTATCTGGCCGGTTTACTAATGCTCTCATCTCCAGGCCTAGATCCTGGTAAGGTCTCAAGGGACTAAGCACACTTGCCCAGGGTCACTGCCTCACATGGGCTTGGGGAAATAATAAGAATGATCATGGCTGACATATGCTGTGCTTACTGTATGCCAGGCATGTTCTAAGTACATTATTATTAAGGTATCAATGATACACAATCTTATGAAGGTTTTACATGAGCAACATTGTGTTTCAACATTCACCATATTATCAAGTCCCCTCACAACCCCATTGCAATCACTGTCCATCAGCGTAGTAAGATACGATAGAGTCATTACTTGTCATGTCTGCTAAGCACATTATTATATATTATCTCACTTAAATCTCATAAATAACAGATCCCACAAGTTAAGAATCTTTATTATACTCCCCGTTTTATAGATGAGGAGACAGGCACTGAAATGTTGAGTAGCTTGCCCTATGTAGTGATGGAGCCAGGATTACAATCCAGAGAATCTGGCTCTAGAATCCATGCTCTTAACTTCTACCTGATACTGCTGATGTTCCTAACCCTAACCCCCATCACCACCTCCCAGAAAAACAGAGAATCCTAGTGAGTAAGAGGTTGGCAGATTACTGCCACTCTACTGAAGACCAGTAGTCACCTGCAACCAGGTCATATACTCCTTCTCGAGGAGGAGGAGTGAGGTTGGAGACCAGAGGTGTCACCCGCATGATACTTCCTATATAAAAATAGGACAGAGAAGCAGGAGATGTGCATATCGACTTAGAGCTATTACCAGTTTAAGGTAACTGTTAGCTGTTAAGAATATATTTTATAATTATATCTCTACGAATTTAGGGAAGTAATTCAAAAAAAGAAAAAAGCAATGGATGAAAAATTTCATTACAATTATCTTGATAGAAAAAATAAAAATAACCTATGTATTCTAAAATAGTGTCATGTTTACATAAAATGGTTAAAGTGTCATCCTGAAATCCAAATCCCTTTATAACAGGTAAGGTTAAAAGAAAAAAGCCTCATATCAAATCACATTCTGTACAATAAAAATCTGTGCAGCAAAAAGAATAGGAAAGAAATCTCAATTATTTTTGAAATAACTTTAAAAATCAGTTCTTTATACTGACTCATCTAGAACATAGCAAGTGGCATGAAGGGCTCAAAATAAATGGAGTTCTAATCAGATTGAGTCTTTGAATATTAAATGGTGAGATATTTTCCTCCTTTTCCTTTTTCTGCTGTAGTATAATGGAATGTGCTTACAAGGGCCCGTGGGGGTGCCAGGACGAGATGGCAGTCCTGGGGCCAATGGCATTCCTGGTACCCCTGGAATCCCAGGTCGGGATGGATTCAAAGGAGAAAAGGGGGAATGCCTGAGGGAGACCTTTGAAGAGTCCTGGACACCTAATTACAAGCAGTGTTCATGGAGTTCACTGAATTATGGCATCGATCTTGGGAAAATTGCAGTAAGTAATGTCGAAGTTATTTTAAGCAAAATTTAAAGGTTTTCATAGTTGAGTGTTAATTTTAGGTGAGATTTTATTTTATTTTTACTAAAAGACTCCTAAAAATTAAGGAATAGGCACCATGTGACTTTTTAAATTAATGAAAACAATTGATAACCTCTCTAAGTTAATTTTACAAAGGTATTTCTAAGATAAATCACTAAATTATTTTAACCCTAATAATATCTAAAATAACTTACTCTTTTTTTTAAAAAATACAAACAAAAAAAAGTTGTGTCTGTGTTGTATAGTAAGCAACCTTCCAATCTTGTCCTAAAGTGAATTTAAATTTAAATTAGTCAAAGCATTCTGCTGTGGTTCCAGACACAAAGCTGGGATGAAATTTCCAAGAAATTATCACATGATAGGAATATCTAGAAGTGGGAAACCCACTGGTATTTGTCCTTATTCTGGGTGGTAGGCCCAGCTTAAAATTGCTATGCTTAAGAGAAGTGGAATGGACCAGAGATGAACTACAGTAACCATTTAAAATTCTTCTACCAACTATTAGGGGGAAAATTCTCAAAATAGCTTGTCTGGCAGTGCATTTTGATGAATGACTGAGTAATGTTTGCTTCAAAAGTAACTGGTAAATCCACTGGGATGGCATAGAGTTGAAGAAATTGGTGGTATTTCTAAGTCACTTTCTTCTTTTGTTGACGCACTGTGTGTGTGGTCCTATGCCTACAATATATTATTCCTTGATATTAACCACTACTACCACTAAGCAAATAGAAGAGATTTTATTTTCATAAAACTCTAAAGTTTTAAGAAGCAATCTGTATATTATCCCTGCACCTCATCTCAGCTCTTAAATGTCTACTCTTTGATCTATAAAAATGTTTGAGGCTATCTTAATTTGATTTTCATATGATAGGATTTCCATATAGCTTCCAACTGTAAGCTTTATTACTTTCATATGTGACTTCTTAGAAAGCATTTTGTTAAAATGTTGTCTGTTTTAAATATCTGACATTGATAGATTGGTTACTTATTTATAGTTCATCAAAAGTTGCTGATTCTCTTTAAAAGCTAACCTTTGAATTATTAATATGTTTTTAAGTTCCTTTTAGTAGTGGTCAGAAGAGGTTTGGGAGCCTTCTGCAAATAAAAGTAGTAAGACCAATAGACAGACAATTATTGCAGAGATGAATTAGAAAAAAAACAGGCCCTTATAATTGTGTGTCCTGTAGGTAAAGACTAAAACCTGTACCTGTGCTTTACCCCTGACACTGTTGCTCAAAAAGAAACAGGTCAAGAGAAAAAACACATGGACAGTGCTAGCCTAGAATGTAAGTTCCATGAGGGCAGAGATTCTGTTTTGTTTACTGCTCTATCTGTAGCATCCAGTGCATAGGATGCAGGAAATATTTTTGGAATGAAAAAAAAAAGGGAATATATAGCTTGGTTTGGTCTCAAACACTGAAGACTGTTTTTGGTAAAACTGAAAGATACCTTCAATGGGGTGAATAACTCTAAGAATGTTATAATTTGATTTTCTTCGAGTTCCTAATATCAGAGTCCTTCTTAGATCTAGCAGAGAATCTCTCTCCCTCTATAAAAGTGAAGCTTTTTGAATGTGGTTTGGGAGAAAGGATAGTTAAATAAAATTCACAATACAATTTGAAAGCATCTTCTTCATTTAAACTGCAAATGCTAATTAAAACCTATTTCTGTGTTTGTGATAGGAGTGTACATTTACAAAGATGCGTTCGAACAGCGCTCTAAGAGTTTTGTTTAGTGGCTCACTTCGGTTAAAATGCAGAAATGCGTGCTGTCAGCGTTGGTATTTCACATTCAATGGAGCTGAATGTTCAGGACCTCTTCCCATTGAAGCCATAATTTATTTGGACCAAGGAAGCCCTGAACTGAATTCAACAATTAATATTCATCGCACTTCTTCTGGTATGTAGAAAAGTGGCTTTGCAGAATGTACCTACCTCACATCTTTAGAGACCAGTCATGAGTTTTGAGTCCCCTAGCACATCAGGTCACTAGCCTGTAATAAGGAAACCTGTAGCAAGTTTTCAGTGCATAATTCTCCATCCTGAAATTTCCATTTTAGAATTTCCTGAAATGGATCTTTAGAAAATATACGTGGATGCTTGGGTCCCATCTCTGACCAGCTGAATCAGAACCTGTGGGGGTAAGACTGATACCACCACTATCAACATGTGGCTGCTGGCCATTTTGGGTTTCGTGAGTCATGGCTGGCATCCCATGACAGCATATGCTGGGGAAATCACAAGATGTATATATATCACTAGCTTTGTTTCCCTGATTTCTTGAAGGGATTTCTCACTAATCTTGTATTGAAAAATGGCAGAGGGAAGGGAAGTGATCCCCCCACTGTTAAACAGATGAAACTATATTTCAGCCTTCTTTGGGGACCCGTCAGATACTGAATTCAGCAACTATGATAGCACTCTTATCCCTAAGAAATCAAGGGCATCCCTTCTACATTTTTCCTCAAATTCCCTCAATATCCTCGAGATATAAAGAAGATATTCTTATGCCCAGAGAAGGCCCAGGGAACTCAAGTGTCTTACCCAGGGCAGTAAGAGCAGGTTTAGTGGAGCAGAGAGCAGATCCCTGCCCTCTTGTCTCCCCAGCCCTCTCTTTGATCAGATTAAGCAGCCTCATCACTAAATCCTTAGATATATGTGCTGAAAAGGAAGATGTGCTTTCCATCTAAGCAGCAGTCTCTAATAAGAAAAATCTACATATAAAATTAAAATTTGTTTAGAGAAAGTTATATGTTGATATAAGCAACTTGATTTATATTGTCTTTAAGGTGTATGTGTATTAATATCTTGCTATCATGTAAGCTCTCAGGTGCAGAAACTGACCTATGCATGCATATATTTTATAAATTATTTAACATAGCATTATGCAGCTGTGGTGTGGAAATTTATTTGGTGTGATCAGTTGAGTGGAATGTCAGAAGAAATGTATTATTCATAACAGTTTCTGTATTAAGATGAATTGAAGGTTACCTATATAATCACTTTCCTTTGCACACTGATATTCTTTCTTGAGGGAAAGGAAAGGGGGTGCTCTTATAGTTAGCATATCAGGATGAATTACAGCCTTGAATATGCCCTTGGGAATTTGAAAAACATTCGAATGTTTTGTTACTTGGGTCTAGGAGGAAAACAGGTTGAAAGGCCCTAGTGCAACACATTTTAGGTGCTTAATAAGCTGCAGTAACTCATCACCACAACAAAAATATTCATTCATTCAAAAAACATTACTTCATTTGTTAAAGACCAGTAAGTGACTATTTGTCGCTGTGTGAGAGTGATACCAGACCTAAGCTTGTCTCATGTCCTATAGGGTGAAGTGAACAAGTTTTAGGCCACAGATGTGAAGACCTCAGGAAAACTGTGCACATTTCTGGACATTCCCACCTGCCATGGTGCTGGGAATACTAGGTTAAGTAGAACCACAGCCATCCTGCTTACTTCTCACAACTTTGAAAGGAGCCTGAACCAGAGTCAGGTCCCTGGGTTTTGAGGGATTTGCCTTAGTTTCATTGATGTGACAGCTAATGGAAGCAGATTGCTTCAGACCTACATCTCTGAGGCTCAGCTGGAATGTACTAACCTACCAAATGGGAAACCTGACCAGTCACATGACATCACCCTGACATTCCTTATATGTCAGGAGTCATTTTCTTACTCTGCCAGCCTCTGGTTCCTTTCCACCCTTACCCAGACATTAAGGAGCTTTTTGCTGTTAAAATGACCACTGAGGGAAACTTTTTTTAATGTAGAAGAACCTTGGTAAGATGGAATGCAAGTTGTATATGAGTATGTGAAAGTTCAGAGAGCTTGAGAGAAGGTGTATTGATAAAGCATAAGAACACAGAGGGAAAGCAGGGGGTTTTGTTTGCTTTTTCACTGTGAGGAAATTTTGTATAAAATGGTATTCCCAGATTGAAGAGCTGGTATAATAATCATGGTAGAGTCTCTTTTAATGTTATAAAAATTCTTCCTTCTACTTGAATACCATCAAGTGTACAAGTAAGTATTGGGAAAGGCGGTCCTTAAAAAATACTTGAATATCAAATCAAAGTCTTGGCTTTTAAAAGTATAGGCCTCCTTTATTTAGTCAAATAAATGGCTGTTTTGTTTTAAGTCATCTCTACCTAAAAAGATTCTGATTTTATGATTGAAGCCTGTAAGAAAACTGTCTGTTAAGCTTATAGCACAAAATGGATAGGTATACATGTTTAACAAATATTTACGTGCTAAGAAAAAGGACTTACCTTTATGAAACCTTTATCAAGTATTAAAATTTTTAATTCAGTGTACATTAAGTAGATTTGTTATCTAGCTTGCTAACATCATAAAATTTAGCTAAAGATTTTTGCTTTTTGTTTGAAAAAAGATGTAACTTTCACCTTTGTTTTGCAGTTGAAGGGCTTTGTGAAGGAATTGGTGCTGGATTAGTGGATATTGCCATCTGGGTTGGTACTTGCTCAGATTACCCAAAAGGAGATGCCTCTACTGGATGGAATTCAGTGTCTCGAATCATCATTGAAGAACTACCAAAATAAACTCTTTAATTTTCATTCCCTACCTCTTTTTTATTTTACCTTTGAATGGTTCATTTTAGTGGCATTTTATATAATTATGTATACATCAGAAAGAAAAACAAAGCTAAATGTGTTTGCTGACCAAAGTGTGATTTCACACAGTTTTTAAATCTAATATTACTTTTACTCACTTTCTTTCAACCAAAAATGTTTTTAGGACTTTGTAACTGATTAGAATATTTTCTTCATGTTACCATTCCCTGAACCTATAACTTGGAATATCCTTGTGGTCTGTATTTTTCCTCTTCTCTTAGTATAGCACGTTTGAAAACGTAAGAGCTGCCAGTCTTTATACAAGTTGTAAATGTCCAGAATTGTTTTATATCTGTGAAATAAAACTTATTTCAAACAACTTTATCTTCAACCCAACTGACACTAAAATTAGAATGTCTAGTACTTTTTAGGTTTATATCTAGTATAAACCTAATTTTATATTTTATTCATTTAATAATTATATATTAAATTTTAGTACATGAACAGTACTATTCCATATTTTGCTGAATACAAAGACAAAGGGATATTTATTTGCTAGGAACTACACTAATACTTTAGGAATTTCATCTTTATTTAACAAAGAGTAAGATGTGAAATCTGGTCCCATTTGCTTACCATTTGGTAGGGAGGATAAGATATTAAAAAAATAATAAAGTTTAATATGTTGATCACCATAAAAGTTGTTGAAGGGGATGGTATAATTCAAAGGAAGATGTATCACTCTGGTTGAGGGGATCAGAAATAATTCACGGTGAAGGAAGTATAGGTGTGACATTGGTGAAGTTAGGTAAATTCTGCCCTGGAACTGGAAGTATCAGTGTGAATTCATAAAGTACTTTATCCTAAAGCTATGAAACAATAACAATGAAATTCCCATCTTTGTTCACTGAAAAGGTCAGAAACTATGACCAGTAATGCCCAGATTGTGATGTTTACAGACCATTTCCTCCTGAAAGGAATAAGGTTCCTTGAGGAAATGGGTAATTTCAGTTCTGGGGCAGAAAATGTACACTATCCCAGGACATCTTGGCAAACCAGAAAACAAGGCAATCAGGAAAGACAAAGGATCCAAGGGCCAACTTGAATTGGTTCCCACTGGCAATGATAGAATTTAAGTATCAAAGATAATAATGGTGACGATTTGAAAGATCAAACATGTTTAAATGCATGAGTTGGTAACATAAAATCTATCAGTCAGCTTAGAAGATGTCAGCAAAGCAACTTACTATGAAATTTGGTAACTAGAAAATAATTTATTCTTTATGTGAACTGTATTTCTGAGTAATCAAGTTGTTGATGAGGGGAAATTTCTTTTTATAGAAGTGTGTTTTGGGGGCTGTATTTTACAGTAATATATATTGTATAACAAATGAAGAAAGAGTGATGATCCTCTTTCAACCCCTCGTGAATTAAGGGTTCTGGCAATAATCAATGACTGATAATCCAAAAAGAGACAGATCAGACTATGTGCCTCCTAATGGAGTACATACATCACTCAAGAAGTAGTTTTGCCAGGAAACAATCAAAATCTAGATCTGATTTAGCCTCCAAATATAATCATTAAATTTTGGGAAATACAGGGGATAGAAGAACATGTTAATTGACGTAGAGTGGTGATCAGCAAATCCAGACTGGGGGAACTCAAAAGACAACTTGGTTTCTTCAACAAATAAATTGCAAGGAAATAGAAGAAGACAAAAAAAAGAATTAAAGAGACTGAAGGTAATATCAACCCATTACCATGTTTGGACTTTTTTGGATGTGGTGGCAAGGATGGAGGCTATGTACGGATTCAACAGCATGGAATTTCCCTTACCTAAGTTGGCTTGGCTAGAGCTATTGGTGAGTACAGACCAACACTGAGTCCCTAATACGACTCCATTCCCAGGAGGGATGAGCCAGCCACCTAGTTGCAGGCTGACTACATTGGACCTCTTCTATCATGGAGGGGCAGAGATTCCTTCTCATGAAAATAGATATATATCCTGGGTACAGATTTGCCTTCCCTGCCCATATATGCTTCTTGACAGCACTACCATCTTTGCATTCAGAGAATGCCTTATCCACTGTCTTGGCATTTTACACAGCATTGGTTCTGATCAAGAAACTTGATTTCACAGCAAAGAAGTGCAGGCTCATCCCATGGAATTAACTGTTCTTACCACATAGCCATCACCTGGAAGTGGCTGGCCTAAATGAAAGATTAATGGCTTATTGAGGTTTCATTATGGTACCAGTTGAATGACAATATCCTGTAAAAAATAGGGTTCTGTCTTACAGGGTGCAGTATATGCTTTGGATCAAAAAATGTTAGGTGGTGGCATTCTCTCCTATAGCCAGAATACAAATGGTAGAAGCAGGAGTGGCTTCTCTCACTCTTACACCTAATAACCCATTTGCAGACTTTTTACTTCCTTTCCTGGCACCTTTGAGCTCTGCTGGTTTGGAGATCTTAGTATCCAGGTGGGGAATGCTTCTACCAGGGAACACAATAATGGTTCTATGGAACTGGAAGATGAGACTGTGTATTAATTTTCTATTGGCTGAATAACAAATATGGTGACTTAAAACAACACAAATTTATTTATCTTATGGTTTCTGTGGGTCAAGGGTCTAGGTACAGATTAGCTGAGTTCTCTGCTCAGGTGTCACCAGACTGTAATCAAAGAGTTGGCTGGAGCTGTGAATCTCATCCAAGACTCAGAATCCTCCCAGCTAATGTGGTTGTTAACAGAATTCAATTCCTTTCAGCTCTGTGATTGAAGTCCCTGTTTTCTTGCTGTCAGCTGAGGACTGGTTCTCAGCTCTTAGAGATCACTCTCAGTCCTTGCCACCTGGGCCCTCTTCTCACAATATGGCTGTTTTTCTTCTAGACCAGCAAGAGAACTCTTGTGCTTTTAAAAGATTTGCCTCATTAGGTAGGTTGGACCCACTCAGGATAATCTCATTCTGGAGTATAGTCAACTGATTAGGGAACCCTAATCACATCTGCAAAATTCCTTTTGCCATATAGCATGATTTTGGAGGTGAATATCCAATTTTGTTCTTAGGTCCCAACAATGCTCAAGGGGATATTATACAAGGTGTTTATACCAGGGGGCAGGTCTTTCTTAGACTTCTGCCTTCCACCGACTGTCACCTGACCATTTTGCCCTTCTTGTACCAACTGAACCAACAGGTGAAATCTTTTTTACTGTAGTGATTGATCCCAATTACCAAGGGAAATTGTTTGCTGCTATGGTGGAAGCAAGGAAGACTGTGGCTGGAACCCAGGAGAGTTTCTGAGTTTCCTCTTAGTACTTCCATGCCAACAGCAAAGACCAGTGGAAAACTGTAGGAACCAGAAAGAGGCAGAATGATTCAGGATTCACCTTTCAGGAAGGAAGATTTGGATCACTCCACCAGGTAAGGAACCCAGAGCTGTGGGTAAGGAAAATATGCAATGTATAGTTGAAGATAGAAGCTGGAGATAGCAACTATGACCTGTGAACAATTACAGAAACCAGGACTATAACAACTTCATATATTTTCTCTTTGTTATAGGCATGTATTATTTATATATGCCAACCCCTTTCTTCTTTTCTCTCCTTCCCAATTTTACTTTATCTAAAAGTTAGTGGAGGTCAACGTTGCGATGTCATCTTTAATTAAGAGAATATTCAGTGTGACCATGACTGAAGCTGAGGAGTTTAATATAGCCAGCAATGGATTCAATGACTGTAGGGGGTTTTGTCTTCTCATTATGGGAAAAAGTCAAGAAGTTCACTTATCAGGATAGCTGTATCTTGCTAGGCTAAAATACAGTTAGTTGCTTTGTTGTTGTGAGGGAATAGAAATCTGTGTAGAAGGGTGCAGATGTAAGTTGAGTAGTCAAAGGGGTTGACTAAAGGTAGTTAGTTACCAGTTGTGGATAAAATGAAAGTTCCTGTGGCCAGGATTCTCACCTGGCCCTGGTTGGCTAGCTCACTGCACAGGTGTGGGCAATACATTGTTATTGACTCTATATAAAGAGCCCTGCCCAGGGCTGTGGGTGACACGGTGGTATGTCTGCAAGGTTGCAGGAGAGTAGAGAAGAGGCTGGAGTAGTGGCAGCACGGAGGACAGAGACTGGGATGGTTGTGCGGGCAGAGAGGCCCAGAGGCAGAGACTGGCTTGCTGCATGCAGACCCGCTCTGAGTGAATGAGATTTTAGTGATTGACCTGCCACTGTGGAAACAAAGTTGGGTATAACCCTTCTACCCCAAAGACATTCTACTATCATTTTTTTGGTCACACTGAATCCATAGTGAACTTGCCTGGGTTGAAACCCATTGGCAAGACACCAGTTTATTGCTTATCAGCTCCAAATTCATCCTTCAGTACCCACTCTGTACTAAGGGACTGGACTATAAGCATTTCTTCATTAGAATGAGCATATTGAGTAAAGGATACTGGAAGGACATTACAGGAGGAAAGAAGCTTGTCTTTCTGGTTTCAGTGTGCTGGAGTTTGCTTTTTCTTGTTCCTGATGCATGATCTGGCAATGCTGTGTGTGTGCAGACATCTGGTGGTGCTTTGCTTCAGTTGCACACCTGGAATTCATAGTCCAACTACCTTGCAGCTTAGCCCAGGAGGCCTAATCACCTTGCTGCAGACATCTTGAGAGGGACATGCGGTCCTGGCCTCATGCTTTAGCAGTGCCCTAAATTCCCCAAACATGCCCACCCACCAGTCTCAGCTTGCCTGCCTCCTACTGGATTGTTCTTGAGGCCTTTCCAATGTGGAAAAAGCCTGCTTCTGGCTTTGTACCTGGAGAAACATTTCAACTAATTCCCTCTGCAACCTACTCACCAGCCTGGTTGGCCTCTGTCCTACAGCATGATTTTCCTGTGTATCATCACTTGATTCTAAACCAGCTCTGTCCCAGGCAACCCAGCAAACTTTCTCACCATCCAGTGGTCTGCAACCACACCTTCTCCAAAGAGGTCTGGATGCTAGAAGTGGCCCCTCTTCCAGGCTTGTCCTTCCTCTCCCTTAGCCATTGTACTGTTTAGAGTTCTCTTAATGTACTTATTTTACTCTATCATAGCCTGACAATTCTTTAAGCTTCTCCTGGTTAATTTATCATGCGCTTTGTCTCCTGGTTAGACCTTCATTGATAGCGCTATTAGCTGATTGGAGTTTCGGATAAGGAAGTGAGTGTTAGTAGCACTTTCTCTCTTTCTTCTCTTTGGGAATAAACTGCTCACAGAAACCATGCATCCAGCCCCATTTCTCCTTGACTTAAGTTTTGCAAGGGCAGGCTGTAGAACAGTCTTGTTTTGGTGCTGCCTGGGGTGGATGGCTATGGCAGTATGACTCTGAGGCTTGGTATAAGGGAGACTTCTTTTACACAGCTATAAGCCTCTGCCTTATCAGCCTGACTACTAATGAAGACAACATTCCATACTCCACTTACCTCTTGTCTATTTGAATTAGTTTAGAACCTGGGTGGGGAAGAGGTTAATGTGAATCACTTAACAAAAGCAGCTTGTTGCTATTTCTTTTGACTTGAGTGTGAATTGGTTTTATCATTTTCGAGTCTTGAGTAGAATAAGACTTGTAATTAACATATACTGAAATTTAATATTAACACAATCCTGTAAAATTTAAGTCAGAAAACAGACTAGGACAACTTTCAAATCATCCAACTTCTGTACAGTTAGTCTTTCTACCATAAGCAGATTTTATTTATTTTTTTACTGGTCAGTCTTGTTTTATGTTTTTCATGGTGAGTCCTTCCTCTCCCTTTAATTTTTTGAGTATGAAGGAATAATCTCTTTAATTTTTATGAGTATTAAATAACATAGTGTTTTCCTGTTTAACATTTTTTAATGTTCTGTAAAACATAATCTATACAACATATGTAAAGGGCCCAAAGTGCTCACTTTTCATATAGGTGATTTTGATTTCCATAGAAACAAGGTTTCACCAACACCATGACAGCTGATGAGAAAGTGACATATAGACCTTAGTGTGCATATCAGATTCTGTATCATTAGGCAACTCTCAGTTCAACAAGAAAACCTAATGAAGGATGGCTTAAAAAATAATTTATTGGTTCACTCAATTGAAAATTACAGAGGTACATGTTGCTAGAGGTGAGAATTGATTAAAAAATCTCATACTATGTGACTTAGGACCTAGTTTCTTTCCTTCAATTTTTAATTGTCATTTCCTCACTGTTGACTCCATTTTGGACAAACTCAGCCCAAGTTATGATCCTAAACTGGCTTTGAGCTCTGAGAATAATGTGAATACTAATTTGTGAAAGAGCAAAGAGAAAATCTATGTCAGTCTATGCAGAAAAAAATGTCTTTAAGAATCACTCTGATTGCCAGCTTAGGTAACTGTGCCAATTCAAACCATTCATTATGAACAGCAATGGCACACTCAGACTGGCTCTGCTAATCAGGGCCTCCTCTGAGGCAGGTGAGGACCATTCCTTTGAAATCAGAGGTGCGAATGGAGGGGGTAGTTTCTGAAAAGAAATTGAGCTACTTCTCCAAGAAGGAAGAAAAATAGATGCTGGGCAGCCAGTAACAGGTATTCCTCACAGGTACTTCCAGGGACTATTTCCTGTTTACTCATTTAAAATGAAATTTAAGACTTTAACCCAAAACTACACATATTTCCTGCATGTTATCTAACACACTTTCATAAAACAGACATGAAGAATAAATAATTTCACAGTATTTTATTTCTAGGAGTACTTTAATAACCACTAGAGATGTTGCTATGAAAGTGGTAATAATACTTTATCTGGTGGATTTTATATTCAGTACAGTGTCCACATTTAAAAAATCCTCTCTGATGACTCATGAACTTAAACATACTTTCAGTTGTTATCCCTTTTTTAGTATGTTTAAAAAACATGGCCTTCTAAAATTGCCAGACCACAAAGCACGTATTGAAACGTAATAGTCTTCTTTTCACAAGGCACGGCATCCACCATTGTCTTGGATCATACTCTACCATATGTTTGATCTGTGGAGCTGAGCTCCAACAAGCTTTTACTTTTTGGGAGTTAGAGGGACCTGTATCTTAATTCTTCAAGAGTTCTGGCTGACAACAATCATAATTTGGTTTTCCCTTTGCCAATTTCCCCAATTCCACCCCTTGACTCCCAGTACTTTTTGCAAGCAAAATTTCTCTACTTTTACCTGCTGAAATCCGAGAGCGAGCCTATAATGAAATGGATACTTAGTTTGCCCCATCTGCTTAGCTGCTTGCAATCTGTCTTCAGTCTCTATGATTTGAATCTGCTTAAAGTTATCATGGCATTAATCTTCATTCTACTGAAATATTTACTTGGTTGATAACCCCTTTTTGAGTTTGTGCTTCTTATCTGATTGGTCTTCCTGTCATCCAAAGATGTAGCCATGTCTATTAGTGACTGTACTTCTCTTTTATCCATCAAATAAAATCGAAACACATTCAGTAAGGCTCTCAGAGTTCTCATCCATTGTTCAGCTCTTTCATTTCTTCCTCTCATTATCACACTGATTGACAGCTCACTGCTTAAGACATGTCACCTGTGCTTTCTTTTGTCTATGGTTCCCTGAAGGTCCCCTTGAAATATCTTCCTTTGAGGCCCAGCTTAAACATATTCCCTCCATGAACCCTGCCAGACAGTCCTGTTCAAGCTGCACTTTTTCCGACCACACTGGTTAATGGCCACTTCTCCAACCTCCTTCTTCCTGGCCACTCCATCCTTGCTCATCCCCTCTAGCCAACTGAATTCCTGCCTTAGGACCTTTGTACTTCCTGTTTTCTCGGCCTCAA